TGTGCTGCCATTCAGGGGGACGTGGACAGGCTGGAGAGCTGGGCGGAGAGGAACCTCCTGAAGTTCAACAAAGGCAAGGGCAGGGTCCTGCACTTTTGGGGAGGAATAGCCCTCTGCACCAGGACAGCCTGGGGACTGACCTGCTGGAAAGTAGCTCTGCCGAGAAGGGCCTGGGAGTGCTGGTGGACAACAAGTCAAGCATGAGGCAGCAGTGTGCCCTTGTGGTCAGGAGGGCCAGCAGTATCCTGGGGTGCATTAGGCAGAGTGTGGCCAGCAGGTCGAGGGACGTGATCCTGCCCCTCTACTCAGCCCTGCGGAGGCCTCACCTGGAGTCCTGTGTCCGATTCTGGGCTCCCCAGTACAAGAGAGACATGGTGCTACTGGAGAGAGTCCAGCGGAGGACTGCCAATATGATGAGGGGACTGGAGCATCTCTCCTCTGAAGAAAGGCTGAGAGAGCTGGGCCTGTTCAGCCTGCAGAAGGGAAGGCTCAGGGGGGATCTGATCAACGTGTACAAGTATCTGAAGGGGGAGTGTCAAGAGGAGGGGGCCAGCCTCTTCTCCGTGGTGCCCAGCAACAGGACAAGAGGCAGCGGGCAGAAAGCGAACCGCAGGAAATTCCACCTAAACCTGAGAAAAAACTTTTTTCTTGTGAGGGTGACAGAGCACTGGCACAGGTTGCCCAGAGAGGTGGTGGAGTCTCCTTCCCTGGAGATATTCAAAAGCCGTCTGGATGTGATCCTGGCCAATATGCTGTAGAGGTCCCTGCTTGAGCAGGGGGGTTGGACTAGATGATCTCCAGAGGTCCCTTCCAACCTCAACGATTCTGTGATTCTGTGATTCTGTGAATGCTGCTGTAAGGGAACAAAATGAAGATGATGTAGTGGGAGGTTCCCAGCTGTGGTTAAATTAGAGATATTTGTTCTCATATAATTATGTTCCTGTATTCTTGTGCAACTGTCTAGTGCGACATGCTGCAGTGAGGTGAAGCAGAGCATTTGCTGATGCAACTGCCTCTAATCTAGACACAGCTCTGCTCTCAGTGTCAGGCTTCTCAGGAAATGCACATCAACAGAACTTCATGTGCTTGAGTGCAGTAAACAATCTGACTGCTAAGTGGAAACACACCATAGAAAACATCCCACAGCAAAAGATCACATTTGTTAACAATTTTGGAATCATTTGTAAGGTTCCTTAACATTATCCCTGATTTATGCTATTGTCTTCGCTGCCTCTTGCACAGGCTTTGCCCATATGGAGCCAATTAGTGCAGTGGAGAAAAATATATTCTTAAAGAAAAAAGAAATCTTTAATCTAAAAAAAATTCAGTATATTTTGCCACTTCTAAGAATCCTAAAGCTCTCTAGAGTTTCAGGTAATCAAAAATTGCAGCAATCCTATGAAGTTGCTTAGTATTAGTTCCTTTTTAGAGATGAGGAGAGTGAGAAACAGAGGTATTTTAGTGTTTTTGCAAGCTTGTTGTTAGATAAGGCCTAGAAGCTTGGAGCCCTGATTCTCAGCACTTCCCTCTGGACTATGCATTTATTTGTCATTGTAATATGTATTCTTGTAACAGAAGAATTGCACATAAAACTTGTGACTGTTTCTCTTTTTGAAAATATTTTATTTTGATGCTTAGAATTGGTTTCATATGGTACAGCCAGCAAGTAAACTAAAAACGTGAACGCCAAACAATTGCATGGCAGGGAGTCTTCAACCATGAGAGACGTGGAAGGATTGTCAGGAAAACAGCTAACATCCCTGTGTTTTGGAATCATCTGTTTTTAAGGCACATATTTATGATCATTGTAACTTCTGTATCAGTGTCCCATTTGGGCTATAGCAGTAAACTTTTTTTTATAAGATATCCACTTCCTGTGTGACACGTCTGTCAGTGTTGGATATACAAGACTTGTAAGATGACTCACATAAATTAAATTTGCTATTGTCAAATAAACTAACTGTCTGGATTTTTGCTCAGTGTATATGTATTTCTAGTACTATATCATTATTTTAGAGACACTTGCTTTAGACAGAAGAATATATCAGATATTATATCTAGCTTTTTCAAAAGCAGGATCAATATACTGTAAAGGCATACACATTCTTTAAACCAAATAAGTATGTGAAAATGCACAATTTATAATCAGGAAAAATAAAGAACAACTAGATGTATGCAATAGATATGTGCTTAGAAGTGCAACACAAACTTCTTCGGCAAGAATGACTTGGCAAAAATCCCTCTAAATAATTAGTTGAATATGTATCAAAACATTCCACAATACTGAATATGATATGTTGGTGTCAGGAAGATGATGTAAAACATTTGTATTGGTATCTGTGGGAAAATGAAAATTGTGGAAAACAATGTAAAAATTAAAACAAAATTGAGGAAAATATAGCTAGAATACAAAATTCCATATTAGGCAAATTGAAGGAAGAATCACGTGGTTCCATTTTAACAGCAGTGATGAATTACACTTGAAGGGATTGCATCAATGTGCTTTTGCTTTCCAGGTTTTTAATCTATAGACTAATTTTCCTTGAATACATCAACACATTTCCATTTTTGGGTTAAGAGGCACTACCCGCATTCTTGCCTTGATTAAGAAATAGTTTCCATTTTTTTAATGCTTTTTCAGAAACCTGAAAGTAAAAATAAAATGTATTTCCTTACAAATGCTATCATGGACAAATAGGAATATGCAAAGCTTGGGGAACATCTGTGAATTGATGTGCGGCAACATAGGAGGTTCACCCTGTTTAAAGATGTGTCATAAGGGCAAAAATTTGTTTTCAGTTACTCTGAGATGAGGTGACAGTATGCTTTTTTAATTCTCAGAATCGAAGGACAGCTTTTGCTGTAATACTTCTGAAATCTGCCCAATTGTTTGCTTTTTAATATACAGAAGAGTAAAATGGAAGGTGCAGATGCAAGCAATGTTACAGTAAAGATTTTCATCAGATTGCAGGTGAGGTTTAGTCTGCCTGAATCTAAGAAGTGGTTTACATGCATGATTTGCTGTAAAAGAATAAATCTAAAAGCATGCTGCTTTTATGGAAATTCTGCTTATTCATTCAGGAGCTGTTTTATGAACCAGTCGTACAGTCTTTGCTTTACATTACAGTGTAGTAAAAGCAAAGTTATATTTATCTGAAGGATGTTCAACCCAAGATGCTGAAGACTGTCTTCCAGGAATCTACAGCTTTGCTCTTACTGAGTACAAAAGTTCAATCAAAACATGTACTATTTATAATTACACTAAGGCAATGATAAATGCAAAGGGCTGGGTTTTTTTACAAGTATAACATTTTGTTTTCAATGCAGTTTGTGTACTGAAAACTAGCAATGGGAATTCTCATGTGCTCGGCTTGTGCCCAAGCAAGACTCCTACATCCTTATCACCTCCAAAAATGTGACATATGTATTATGAAACTGTATTAATATATATTATAATATATTGTAGTATTATGTATTATTAAATACTTATATATTATACTATGTGGCAAAGAATCTGCTAAGTGCTTTAGAATCTCATGGTTTTCAAATATGAAAAATAAGCAAGATCTATTTAGTGTACTAAAAGTATACCATAGTATAGCAACTTTTTCCATTAGGAGAATTCTATGTAAGGCATGTTAGCTGCATGGTTTTAGCTAGCTCTATAGAGATGTTATGTTTCTTAATGCTTTAATAAAAGAAAGATGGATA